GAGAGCGTGGTCCTTCCCCGGTTGAACCGACCCATTCGTGCTACAACTATACTATTAATATAGCTGCAGCATGGCTCTACCACGTATAGATATATCCATATTATTCTTCAGTGGTGACAACGCAGCAGTAGCCTGTATTTAAAATATGTTGCAGGTGTCCAGGACTGTAGTAGCCACTTACCATTAGGTGGGCTATTAAGTTCGTTAGTCACTTCAATTTTATAAAATAAAAGCCACCGGTTTACGGTCAATATTACCGTTTATGGGCTCGTCTGGCTACATTATCTTGTATAGCCATAAGCTTTGTTACACATTAAATATATAATATTTTATTATATTTAATTTTTTTTATATAAGAGAGGGCAAACGAGCATGCGGCTCACCTGATGGTAAGTGACCACCGCCGCCCATGAACAACTGCAACACCAGGGGAATTGCAGATGCGTTGCCGGCCTTTTAGAAAGGTGTAAGCTCTTTTTTTGAAGGTCCCTAAATCGTATCGGTCCGGAAAAATCGCCGGTGGTAAACAATTCCACAGAGAAGTTGTACGTCGAAGAAAACTCCTAGTGAAACGCACAGTCATGTACCGCCAAGCATCCCGATGGTGAGGATGGTATCGTGAATTTTGACGCGATGTGCGTTCGTGAAATTTGGCGGCTGGAATTAATCCGAACAATTCCTCAGAGCCCTCCCTGTGGTAAATTCGATAGAAAATGCAAAGGGATGCAAAATCCCTACACTGTGCCTGCATGAAATACTGTATCGCTCTGCTGAGCACGCCAAGCTCTTTAGAGGCCTATTTAATAATAATAATAATAATAATCCTCCTAAAAAAGGCCTTCCATTCCAAGTAACCACGAAACTGCACACTATTCGATATGTCGACGCCGAGGATTCCGATGCTAGCTGAGGCAGCAAGGGGAGTGACTTGAAACTAAGGAGATACGACAAAGGGGTTCTTTTTAGCGGTAAACACGCAAACTTGTGTCTTCTGGGGATTGAACTGGACTACATTTAGTCACTCCTAATCCGAGAGTTTTGTTCAGCAAAGACTCGACTTCAGACAAAAGTTTGTCCCGGTACTCGGCGACCTTTTCCCGAGAAATATTGGCACGGCCGGCATATAAGGCGTCACCAATGCTGTCGTCTGCACAGCAATTAATGTTACTACTTTGCAACATATCATTGATATGCAGGAGATACAGCGCTGGTGATAGCACGCAGCCTTATGGAACACCAGCGTTGATAGGCTTGAAATCAGAGTGTGCACCGTCTACTACGACCTTGATGCTCCGATCAGCAAGGAAACTGGTGATCCATTTGCACAATTTCTCGTGAAGCCCATAGGAAGGAAGCTTTCAAAGAAGCGCTTAGTGCCAGACCCGATCGAAGGCCTTCGCTATGTCCAAACTAACGGCCAATGTCTCCCCATTGGACTCTACTGCCTCCGCTCATCTGTGGGTCAGGTATCTATGACCAGAAGATCACCAGCTGATCGACCCCGACGAAAACCGTACTGGCGATCACTAATCAGCTGGTGATCCTCAAGGTACCTCATGAGCTGGCAGTTTATAATGGATTCCATTATTTTGGAGAACAAGGAGGTGATGGCGATAGGCATGTAGTTGGACGGGTTAGAGCGGTCGCCTTTTTTAGGGATCAGGTGGACCAAAGCTGTCTTCCGTGAATTCGGGACTACGCCTTGGGAGTAGGAGTCCCGGAAAAGCCACGTTAAAACCGGTGCCAACTCCGGGGCACACGTCTTCAGCACAATGGGAGGGACTCCATCGGGCCCACTCGACTTGCTGATGCCCAGGGAGAAGAGTGTTTTGCGAACCGAGTGCTGTGTAAACCGCACATTCGGTATGTGGCACTCACACCGCGGGATAGTCGGCGGTGTGTTCCCCCCGTCATCTAGAGACGAGTTGGACGCATAGAGAGAGCTTAACAGATCGGCTTTCTCCTTTGCGGCGTGGGCCAGTGAGTCGTCCTCTCTGTGCAGAGATGGAAGAGATGGCTGACAGAAGTTCCCTTGGACAGCCTTGGCGAGAGACCAGAATGAATATATATATATTGATATTTAAGCGATTATTACTCAAATTGACTGCCTTGCCTTCGTTATAACAGGCCATGAATCTCTGACCACGAACTACGTTACTAAGGATTTTTTAATTACGCTAGGCTAGGGAGCTAGGCACAGTTTCCATGGCGAATGTAGCCCCTACTAACGCTAAAAATTTTCTTAAAACTCGAGACTAATAACTAAAGTACCATACCGCAGAGGTGTCAATCTTGGCGTATCACTATTCAACCGCTTCATCTATGTATCAGTATCTATAGAACACCTGCTAATGCATGGCATAATGGACAATGTGCGATACACGCGTCCTATAGCTTGGTTTTTTATACTAAAAGCTTAAGAAGCACTGATTTAAAGGGAGACCGTCCACCTTAGCTAAACGACCATCTTAAATTACGGCGCGTTTACAAGAAACTAAAAATTTCTTCCGAGCTGGATGGTCGGAGGTCAACCGGATCAGGTGCTTTTGGGGTTTAGCTAACTGCAAAAAACTTGGTGTCACCTTTCAGTGTGTAAAAGTATATAGTAAAAGTATAATGGTATACTTTTACTCAAGAACCGTATCAAAATCTATAAATCCATAAGTCTATAAGTGTACTACACAGTTGCACCGTTGCTCTATCATTCATTATTTCTATCCTCTATGATTGTAACGCATATTATAATAATAAGAACTTAACTATTAAAATATCACCTAACCACCGGTGACTCGCTCTATCTCTACAATTTTTATTATTCCGCCATTAAGTCGGGCATTAAGAGACCAAAGTGCTGTTTATTCTGTTTAGTATTCTAGCAGTTTTGTACTTGCCAGGATGAACTCAAATTGTAACGGTACAATTTCTAAGTACAATCGCTGGACAACAAAAACATATAGAAAATTATATAAGCATTACGTTATTTTTATGCAGGATGCAGGCTGCAGGGTTGATTTTGTATTACAGCATGTTGAATTTTTGCGTCAGATACACTGACCGGAACAAAAAACGACTCGTAAGCAAAATCGGGACTCATCTGTGAACAGTACTTGGCCCCACTGTTCCATATCCCAATTCACATGTTCATGTGCGAATGCAAGTCTGCTGACTAGATGCTGGCTGGTAAGCTCTGGGTCAAGTGCAAGTTTTCTGGCCATGATATCAGTTTCATTGAGGCGTCTCCTGATAGTACTGTCACATACATGCATATCGTGAACTTCAACTCAGGGGTGACAACGCATCTGCATTTTTATTCTTAATTAGGGATAAATTTAGATGTCTATAAACTACAGTATCCACTTACGATCAGTGGACTGTGACTCATTTGTCACCTTTATTCTATAAAAAAAAAATCATCATTTCTTTATCTTCATCAGCTTTCAATAGTAATAAACATTCATGTATATTACAAATATAAATAATTAAGTTTTGTTTCAATACTTCTGGCGCGGTTCAGATTAAAAGTTCTAAAAGTGATTGGACGTTACAGGTCAGATAACATAAACTTGCTTCAAGTGGATAGTTATACAAAAAGATCATTGTGTTGACTTAAAAATAATTCAAGGGCTTAATTGCACTCACGGGTGCTCTAGTGGCATGTGAACGGGTAAATAAGCACCGAATCCGCGCATAATAGGCACAATGCTTCACAATGAACGAATGCCCACTCGACTGAATTGATAAGTGGGTTGTGCCGTTGCGTGGGGAGCGAGTCCGCCCGCCCGCCCGGTCTGTAACGCGCTGCATTGTGGCAAAAAATATTTTAATACCTACAACTCTAAGTCTCTGTGAGACAAGAGTGAGCATTAAATGGTAGTTTTCAGAGTAACTATTATGGCTGAGAAACCAAATATAATAACTTAAAAGATTTGGTCACTATACTCACTATACATGGGTGCAGAGTTTTTGCGTCACTCTATCAACGAGTCAAAACATTCGCCATTTGTCGGTCGCCAGAGTCACGTTAGCCTAGCAATCATAAGATTTGACCTTCATGCCAAAAAGAGTCTTTCTAGCCTAACGATAAATTATAAGAAAGTGGTTTGCATAGTACACTGTCTGCCTCCGGTAACAGTGACCGTGTTGCTCTAAGCTGCTACCTAGTAACAACTACCTAATTCTATAGTACCTCTAAAGTAGTTATTACATAAATATAACGTTAAGTTCACTCCCTCGTTGGTACAGTGATCGTAACCGCTACTGCTAATTATGTGTGGTCCTGAGTTTGAATCCCAGTTCGGATATTAATTAGTTAGATTTTTTAAGTTTTTAAACGTTTACGATCAATAAATTCTTAGTACCAGCCAATAGTGTTTGAGTTATTCTTAATAATTTATATTGAAGTCAGTTGTACCATTTTTTTAATTTTAAATTATTAATGGTAATGAGTCGCTCTATCAATTTAATTCGATTGGAATAGATATAGGTGTCTTTGGGCCACAGCATCTACTTACTTTTATAAGAAAAAAAAATATGTTTAATATTATTTAATATCTCATACGTAGACCCAAAACGTGAATGCAATTGCTAAATTAATTCAGGTGGTCTAGGAAGAAGATTGCCCGTATTGAATTACAAACTTATGCTAAACATGATATTGTAAAGTGTAGGTATCAATAATAATCCATTCGTTAAGCAACAAGATACTTTTCTGACAAGAATATAAACATTTTATAGTCTTTGATAGAGAGTTAGCGGGGCGGCACGTCTTCCTGACCACTGGCGAGCGGTAGCGGGCGGCGTTCGCATTCGCAGGCGTGCACCGTATGGATACCATTCGGATTCTGCTGTCGCAGACAAATGCTCAACGACAGGCGTCGCGACCGTTACGTTGTACCCGAATACCGCAACTCTACATTTTCCCGCCAAAAATTGTGCGCGCTATAATTCGTGAATTACTTGCTTACGAGTGATCTATTACATTTGCCTGGCCACTTTCTGTGATGCGCTACTTTTTCGTGATTTTTGTTTTATTCTTTGTGTTTTTACCAAGATCAACGGAGGCGATTCGATGGCTGTAAGTAACATCCGATTTAATTACTTTCTTATGTACTGAAAATAATAATTAGATTTTATATTTTTAGACATTCCACCAAAATTATTTACCTCTATTTATTATAAAAAGTGTTCTTTTTTATATTTTATACCTATAGTGTAAATATTTTGACTAAATAATATTATGTATTTTTTATTAATAATTAATAATAATAGTTCGTAAAGTGCAATGTATAAATGTGCACTAGGTAAGAGAGAATTCTAAAAACGTTTACTGAAAATTGTGACTTGAAGCAAAATTATTTTGAAAAATATGTAGTTGTAGGTATAGCCACAAAATAAGTAGAGCTTTATTTTATAATTTTGGGCGCCAATTGGTCAAATACCCAGTCTACCCAGAGGTTCAAAGCGTCGCTGAGTTATTTACTATAGAAGGGTCCATAGTTACGTGCAGCAGTTGATAGTTCACAAGCTGATAATAATGATGAGGAGTTGGTTTCATAATAAATGCATAACTAACCGTTTTGTCTATTTTAACTCCCTAAAGAATTCACAATAAAATGATCACATCGTCTTGAATGATTGTGATGGCTCATAAAGACGAGCAAAGCAAAAATCTATTTTCGTTTTAAGGGTTTTATTATTTGATGTTGGGAGCGTTTGCTCCATTTTTGTTATTTAATTGTTTCTGTTTGAGCATTAAATATTTTAAACAATAAGGGCATGCATAAGTCGCGGTTAAGGATTTTTTTATGACTAGACTAGCTGTTTCCCGCGACTTCGCCCGCTGTAATTTATTACGATTGGATTTGATTGGTTTTAATTTTTGTTTTTGCGCGGAACTCTACTCGGAATACTTGTTCTAAAATAAAGCTTAAGTTAGTACTTGTAATATCAGATATTTGCCAGTGAAAGTCCCGTCAAAATCGGTCCAACAGTTTCGAAGATTAGCCGGAATAGACGTCTGTCTGTTACGTTTGATTAGCCGGAACAGACAGACAAACAGGCAAACAAAAATTTAAAAAAATTGTGTTTTTACTTGTATATACTTTAATTTACCGTATATACTTTCATATGCATTTAGTAAAAAGCTGTTATTTTGATATTACAATTTTACACACTTCAATTTTATTTATTTCTATAGATAGTAGAAATATTAGTTCCTTAATCCTTACCTATGAAACTACCGCTGTAAACACTAAAGTATGCATTAGGCCTTGCCTTATATTTAAAGTAACTGCCCCCCACCCCCCACCCATGCCCATCCCTCAGGACTGTGTGTGCTGTAGAGCACACAAAACGTCGGGAATTAAAATTAAATGCAATAAAATCCGTAAAATTAGTTTTATTAAATGTCTAATATTCGTGAAAATATAAGAAATCATTAACTAAGAATAGGATCTAAAAAGAAATACCTTCAATGTCAATTTCTAGATATGCGATATAGTTCATAATGAATGTAATTCTAATACAACAACTAGGACTTCTCTTATGACTACTAAATATAATCAACTTCCAAAGAATAAGTTCATGTTAAAGAATTGACCATTTTTAAATTCTTTATTATTTTTTTAAATATTTCACTCTTCGAACTTTGTTATTATTACTTATATTTGTCACATAGAATTACAGACTATACATGCATGATACACGTATTCATTTTATTTGAGAATGGTAAAAATAATTATACGTAGTCATTGACGTATAAATAAGTATTATTTATACGTCCTTATTTATACGTCCATGTACGTAGTCCATACTACCGGACATAGAGTAACAAAGGTTAAACAAAGATAACTCTATCCAAGACTCACAAAATTGTAAATCATATCAATGGGAATCCTAAGCATTATACATAATTAAAACAATAGTTTTACTGCTCTATGAACTAACTACTAACAATTATAATCTACTATCTAACTAATAACTAACTACTAAAAATTGTACTTATAAAATATTATATTGTAAACTGTTCTTTTTTTTTAAAAAGTCCCGCTAGGTTTCTTGCTAGTTCTTCCCAGGACAGAGGTTTTTTTTGCGAAGTAGTGGTTACAGTAAAAAAAATAATTTCAATAAGTATTATGTACTGTAATCTATATTAAATAAAAATGATTCTATTCTATTCTACAGAATAATGAATGATGTTTGTTAAAATACAATTTAAGCTTTAAATTTTAGAAATGTTTAGTAACCTTTCCTTAAATGAAAATAATTTTTAAATTTTACATTACATATATAAACAAGTTACCTATCAGTTTTGAGCCAGTGTGTATTCAACAATGAATTTCCATTATAAATGAACAAATCTAAATGAATACGTAGAATGAAAAAGACATTTTAATTGAACACAAGTTATCTGTCATTTAGGACTTTACGTAAATTTGCAAAAAAAAAAAGACGGAGATATCTTTTTCGTAAACACTAATATCGACTGGTCAGTCGATCTAATGGAAAAATGTGATTTGTAAAAATTACCTTATAATAATGTTATTTCAAGAAAAAAAAAACACAGGACATAATTGTAGCCGAAGAAAGTATCAGTGTCCATGAGAAAACATTAATAAAAGATTATGTAAAGCGGAACGCCACCACCTGCTGCCACTGTTTCGATTTTACAGCACGATAAAAATGAACCTTTAGGTGAGAGTCTATGGTTTAATAAATAAAATCAGTTTCCTTTAGAATTTTTATTGTATGAGACTATGAAATATACAAAAAACCATATCCTACATGTTTTTTATATTATGTAGTCCTAAAAAATACTTCCTAAATTTTTAATTTGCAACATAAGTTCTACCACGAGTAACAATGATGCTCGTTTAGTATGACAAAAGTTATCTGGTGGAATAGTAGTTAAGTTCATATAAAAGGTAAACGACATTATTGCAAATAAAAATTTTACGGTAAATTTTAACTTTAATAATTTCGGATTTTTCGTCACTTTAATGAAAATGTATTTTTTATGTAGCTGTTTTTCCGCTAGAGATTATAGCTGACAGTAAAGGGAGTGTTTTGAACTACTGATGCAATCGGAAAATCAAAGATTATTTTTTAAAGTGAGCATTCGTGCATGACATAGTTTACAACATAACATGTCAGCCTCCTCATGTTTCGTTAGATAATGTGGCGAACTCTACCCTGGTCTATTAGTCAATAACTCTCTTTTTTTATTTATTATCTTATAGGATAGGGTGACAGACGAGCACACAGTCCACCTGATGGTAAGTGGTTGCTGTGGCCCATAGACGTCTACATCTATCCTCGTTTGCGAATCAAAATGCAGATGCGTTGTCACCCGCGAGGACTAAGATGGAATGCCTCTTTTCCAGTAAAAAGGGTCTCCGGTTCTCTATACTCACCATACGAAACATAGCAGCATTAAGCTGCTATTTTACGCTGGTATTCTGTGAGAGCGTGGTCGTTCCCCGGTCGAGCCGACCCATTCGTGCTACAACTATACTACTAATATAGCTGCAGCATGGCTGTACCACGTATAAAGCTCTCTCTCAGAAAGCACAATAAATACATGGTTAAATCAAGTAACTCAACATTCTAAAGTATCTATAATTAATTTGTAAAGTTTGTTTAGAATATTTGTTATTTAATTTGGACTGAAACGACCTTAATAATACTTTTTTGTAAAGTGGAAACATATTATTACTATACTCCACTGTTTTTAACGTTTTTATTTAATTCCAACGAATAATATTGTATATAATGTTTCCATTATACAAAGATATTATTTAGGTCGTTTCGGTCCAAATTAAATAACACACGTTTTAAACAAACTTTACAGATTTAGAATTAATAAACCTTAGTTTACCCGGTGCTTTAGCTTTACAGGCGTAGTCTAGACGTGAAAGTTTGAAGCTATCGAGTTTTTACTCATCTTATACTTAGCAACTTCTAATTTGTATGGTAGCAGCCTGATTAATTTTATTATGAGAGTAAAGAAAAAATTGCATATTCTAGAAGCATCGTTTAAACATTTTATGATTTATAACAAATACCCAATTAACAGTGTAATACCCAAAGCAAAGCTATAATAGTCCCCCGTCCATCGGCACTCCCTAATTGAACATTGCACTAATGAGTTGCGTTGTTCGCTGCATCCCGCAATTATTCGCCCTTGCGATTACCCGGAAATATATCGGGAAATATGAGCTTTGTGCTCGGTATCAGTATTTTAAATAATAAAGGAACAAACTATATTATTATTCATTTATCATAATTATAAGCGTGTAGTAGAGGTGTAAGGATATCCTACATCGTCCCGAGGGTGTCGTAAATGGCGATGGAGGGAAATGAAACAGAAGACGGGCGGCAGCATCTTCCTGATAACAATTCAAAATAATAAAAAAACTGCGGTTGCCAACCCGCTGCCAAGCGTGGCAACTATGGCAAAATCCTCCCTTGAGACATCCTACGTTTAGCAGTGGACTTTTACATATACGCTGTAATGGAGGGATCAATATTAATATGATTATAAATATAACATTTTATATTTATAGTTATGATTAGCTGTTTCCCGCGACTTCGGCCGCGCGTATTTTATTACGATTGGATTTCATGAGTTTTAATTTTTTGCGCGGAACCCTAATTCTATTTCTATAATAAAAGTAGCCTAAGTTACTTCTTCTAACATCAGCTATCTGCCAGTAAAAGTCCGGTCAAAATCGATCCAGCCGTTTCGGAGATTAGCCGGAACAAACATATAGACAGACAGACAGAAAGACAGGCAGAAAAAAATTTTAAAAATCGCTTTTGCTATAAGTACCGTGTATACTTTCATATGCATATAGTAAAAAGCTGTTATTTCGACATTACAAACACACACTTCAATTTTATTTATTTGTAGAGATAATAAGAAAATCTTGATGGACGTTACCTGAGTATATAGGTAGTAGTGTAATTACGCGGTAGAGCCACGTTACATCAAACACAGATCGGCTCGAACGGTGGAGGAAGACCACGCTCGTATAGAATGAAAGCGTATAATAGTGGCATAATACTACTGTGTTT